TCCTAGTGTCTAATAAAATTACAGATACACAGTATTTGTAGATTATTTAGACACCGGGTACCTTATCACTTTTGAAATGGATTTGAAAATGATATGGTTTTTTGAAAGAGCTTTTAAATACTTGATTATCAACTTGACTCTACATTTGATTGCATCAGTCATATTAGGTGTTTTTCACATATTATCATCTCTTGCATTTGAGTTATGCATTTTATTTTCGATGGTGTTCGAGTCTCTGATTATTTCACCCTCCTTGTTTTATTGTCCTTATCCCTTTTTCTCCCAACTGGCCATTTGGCTCATCACTGATTTAAATGTTGCCCCCCTCCAAAATTAGCCGTTTGATTTGCTGCATGGAAAATTGATGCCATAGGACTGAAGGCGCGAGATTCGAGGTGGTTCATTCTATTTTTAATTTTACAGATTTTAATTAATAGTTGTATTATATTTCTGTATATAAATTGTATTGATTGACATTATACCAGAGTTATATTATCTTTAGATTCTATGGACTGTTTTAAATATTATTTGTAAAAGAAAGACTCCGGAGTAATATATTTTAATATTTATTTCATAGATATGTATTTTCTTGGATTTTGTTAATTAATCTCATTTAATTAAATGTAATTTTTCCAATAATCAAGTTCCTCTTTTGGGGTCGTGAGCAGTATAGAAATTCTAATTGAGTCTATCGATGATCATCTATAGAATGATCTTAATCCTAAGTTCTTAACAGACTCCTATTTATGGATTTGTGTCTTTTGATTTACTCAGTACGGATTCTGAAATTCTGAATCATATTCCTTATATTTTAGAGACACGATATGAAGTAAGTTGCCGGAAATGTTATTATACTAGATGGAATCCATTCCGTCTTGAGAAAAAAATAGATAAATAATTATCTTGAGAGACTCGGTACTTGGACCAATAGGAGCTCCGATTTATGAATTTATTTTATGAATAACTGTTCATTAGAGAATCAATGGTACTCAAAGATAAATATGTAATTAGAGAGGTTAACGGATTTTACCTATCTTTAATTATGAATTATTTATAGAGGATTGATCTATATGCAATGACTATATCAAATGTACACTTCATAGTTTAGAAGTAATTTATGTCTATAATTACGAGAGTGCAATTCTAAGTTTATGGTGGAGTAACTACTGGAATTAATAGAATTAATTAATTAATTAATTAAAGAGTTTAATTAATTATTAATTTTATTGGAGCTCAAAGTTATAGGTCTATGAGTCCCCGCGTTGTTCTTGTAATTCTACAAGACACTAAGGGCAAAATGGAATTTTTAGAATTATGGAATTCTAAAATAAACCGCTCAAGGATAATTAATTGTGAATTAATTATAAATTAAATAATGTGATTTTTTAAGTTTAAGTTTAAGTTTAAATTTGAATTTTGACACACATGTGAAGGTGTTCACATAGTATGAACGCACAGCACAGTGTGATTCCCTTTGGGATTCAATTATTTGCTCTCCATAGTTATCCAATTAACTTATTTGATAAGTTGACCAATTTGAAATTCAAATTGATTTAAGTTTAACTTAAATTAGAATTTGAATTTAAGTTAAAAATTAGACTGCAGGATAAAATTTTGCCCTATTTTGTATCTGTAAAATTATGCCTACCACAGGGAGGAATTCCCTTTGTGGTGGCCGGCCATATTGGGTAAGGTAGAGTGAATTTTGTTTCAAAATCAAATTGAAGTAGGAGATAATTAACAAGTTTTATCTTAGAGATAATTATAAGGCTCCTTCTAGGAGTTTGACTACTACTCTATAAAATAACAGTGTAGAAAATTGTGAGACATAATTTTTGCTTTCCCTAGCTAAGTAGCTAAATAGTATAGAGTGAGGAAGAGGGAAATTTTCTCCAAAAAAAAATTCCACGTTGTGCATGTGTTGGTGTTCGTGAAAATCTTGAGTGTTCTTGCTAATCTTGTTTTGTTTCAGATGTTCCCACACACATGTTCATTGTAGATTCAAGGAATTGACGAAGAAGATTCGGGTGCTCTAAACTAACATTGGAGCGAGGAACGTTCAAGGTCAAAATAACACGAGTTATCATCCTAATCTGTTGCTATGTATAATTCCTAATCCGGTTCTTGGTAAATAAATTAATGTGATTAATTTATTCATGCATAAATTAATATAATCTATAGAGTATCTCAAAGGTTTTATGAAAAAAATTTCATACACGATCCGCTACTCACACGTTTCCTTATCCAAAATCGTTTCGGAAACTAACAATTGGTATCATAGTGGTCTATAGACTATATCAATTTATGCTTCGATTATGCGATAATTAATATTGTATTAAATATGTGATATTTAATTTGTATGTATGTGATGGGTAGGCACTTGCATTTATTTATGGATGTTTATATTGATTCATGTTGATGAGTCCATAGATGATGGATTTGGTCGTTAATTATATGGTTCCATGGATCAGTTAAATTCATTCATTAAATTATTTATAATTTTTTTCGAGTATTAGAATTATTGTAATTCTAAGATTTGGGAAGATTAGGGCAAAGAATCACAAGTACAAGAAGCTCGGGAAAATTCAGAAGTGACGCCCCGCACGCGGCCTGCCGCACCCCGCACGCGGCCCAGGTGCACCTCCTGCGCGCCCACGCATGCCATTGAACCCAGAAGAGTTCTGGACCACGAAGAAGATGAAATCTGACCCGAAGACGAAGAATGAAGCCGATGAACGGAAAATTCAAAAATCAAAGACCCGTTGATGTAACGAAAGAAAATAATTATTGTAGTTATTTATTTATTCAATTTGGTTGTAGTAATTATTCGTTCAATATGGTTGTAATTTATATTTTTCATGGGACCCGGTCAAATACGTCTCAATAGCCGATTGACTTATATTTATTGGATGATTGTATATTATATGTCTATACATATAACATGTCATATAAATATAATGTGCCTACTCATATGTTTAATTACATGTCATGCATACACGTGTATTATTTTATTTATTTAAAATATTTTTGAAAAATAAAATAAAATACGACTCATGCATGATTAAATAGATTTAAGTTGCAAAATTGATTTGTAAAATTATGTTATATGTGAAATTGAATTTAAGAGTTAAATTTTAGAATTTCACATATCCAACAAATAAATTGTTTATTTATGCAGATTTAAAAACCATGAGATGATTTTCAAATAAAAGACTTATTTGTAAAACATTGAGTGGGAGAGGGTTGTATGACAATACGACCCACTACTCTCCATCGTTAGTTCAACACCGTGAGATTTGAAATGGGCTCCACGGCGGCATCGATTCCGCACTCCCAACGAAAATTGTTCTTTCGGCTCAATAACAAGGTTGATTTCCTAATGATAGGATTCAAATATGTATTTTCAGTTTGACTTACCCTATGGCGGCGCTCCGGAGTTAAGTTTGTAGAATCTGAAACAATGGGTTACAATCATCAAAATATAATCAAATTTGTTGATTATATATTGACTAAAATAACGGTAGTTGATAAATATTAAAATATGAGATATTTTGATTATATTTATTAATTGAGAAGGTCTCAGTTCAATTTGTGAATATTTTAACGTACCCTACGACGGCACTATATTCGTGGCACATTGGATTATCGTTGGCACCTAAAATTAAAACATGATTTATGTATATTTCATGTGCATCATGCATCATATTTAATTATGCTAAAAACTCACGTCTTGATATTCATGCACAAAAATTGACTAGATGAATATACTATTTATTTCCAATAAGATGTATAATCTAATTTTAAACCTACTCGGAACTGAAACACTGACTAGAGATAACTATGCGAAGTGGTAAAGTAACATAAATAACTTGCATTCATGTGATGAATATAAGTTTGTCCCAACTAAAGGATTGTCCTTCGGTCCCTGAGGAAAACACATATAGCTAACTGTTAGCTAGGTTTGGGTGTGGTACTTCACAAGAAGTATGAAGGCATAGAGACAGCTTATGAGATAATGCAGTCATCAGATACCGTGTATGGAAATCCATATAAAAGGTTTGGCTAAATGCTATAAAGGTCCTAACCAAAAGACAACTGGAAAGTCGTTTCCACTTAAAAGAAAAGAATGAAAGCAAATACGATTTGCTAGTTCTAAAAACATATTTAGTAAAGAGTGATTCCTAACCCTGAATAGTAGATTCAGGAGTAATTAATCATGTTTTGTTTTCTTTATTAAGTCTTTAACTCTTACAAGGAAATTGTATCTCAAAACAAAGAAGAAGACGAATCAAAGTAAATAAAATTTACTAATTCTAGAAACATCATTAGTAGAGGATCATTATTCGTCCTGGATAGTTGATTCGGGAATAACTAATCCTGTTTAATTTTCTTTGAAAAATATTAGTTCTTACAAAGAACTTACCGTCGAGGACTACACAATGAAAGTGAGAATACCGCGAGAGTATCGACAAAATCAGTGAGAAAAGTTCAGACTTCAATTTTGAAAATAATAAATACCTTATTGTGAACAATGTTTATTTTCCTCCAAGCATAAAAAAATTTGATTTCTGTTTTTAAATTATTTGAACAATTACCTTTAATAATAATCTAGTCCACAATTTTTTCAAAATGATTCTAATATTTGTTTTGAATATTTAGAAAACAGTTTATACTTTTTAAACTGATACCTGACTCGCTACTTAATGTTGAAATGTTCAAAAGTTACGATGCAAAGAATAAGAAGTAAATATAACTACTTCGAAAGAGACTTCTACTTCAAAAACTTTGTGAGACAAATACAACTACATGAACTAATTCCAAAAAGAGATAAATTCAGATAACTGTCATAAATTAATCTTCATTCTTAAATATGAAAAAGCGCTATACATAAAACTAAGCCTCTACTATCCATTTGTATCAATAACCCGAACTTACCACTGCCGTGAATATCAAATCTATACAAAATGCATGATAAATAGAGAAAATGCTGATTCAGAGGATGAGGAACAAAAAGAAATATCACTTCCAGATTTAAAAAAAGAATGGGTTCTCTACATTTATTAGTTGTATAAATTATGTTCTGTATTTGGGACAACTAAACTTTACAAGATAACTTTAACATTTGCCTACATTTGCGTAGACACGTTTTGATCTAACCTTGTGCGGTTAAATTAGAAGTTGGTGCTCTCACAGATGAAAACAGAGAGGACAAGTGCAAAGCACTGAAAACCATTGGAGAATTGCTGTTATTGGGAGAAAGGCTCTAATTCTGAGAGCATCCAACGGAAGAAGAAATCCCAGTGTGCACCTTCAGGAGACAATGGTGAATTCCTTTTCTGTAGGCATCACAATGACCAACTGCAACTTGCGCTGCTGGAGCAGTTTTACTGGATTCTTGAACACAGAGACCCTCGCAACTTTATTTTTCAACAGGACGACGTGAGCAATGCTGAAAGCGTCACCTCTATCGACTGCAAAATGCCACTCTCTCGGTGTTATCATCAGCCAGTTTTTCCTCGGAGATACGGTTGATTTAACTTCGATAAACTCTTTACCATTTTTGTTCTTAACAACTATGTCATAAGGCAGCCCTGTTTCGTTGTCTCCATTAACCCACTCTACGGCGTCCTTACCAGCTTTCCCAATGAAGTATTTAAAAGCAAGAAGCTCGCCAAGTCTCCCTGTCAAGATTCCTTGTTCATTGGGTATACCAATTCTAATCTGATCTTTTTTGTGAAACCTAGATGCACCTAATTTAGGTAACTCGGGAGCAGAATCTGAACCAACATGATCAACTTCTCTAGTCACTTCAAGATTAGTTTCATCACAAGCGTTGACCCGCTGTTCTTCCAGATTGCTGGAGTCTGGCAAAACTAAAGCTGTTGATGCTCCTGAATCATCTTCGATCGACCAATCATTGTCAATTGAGAGCGGAGCTGCAATATCTGCTTCATCAATGGTAAGATAATCATCCTCCTTTATATAGTGAGAGCTGAAACAAGGCTGTGCAATCGGTGGTTGCATCTTGAAACCATTTGCACGAGCATAGTCAAAACCTGGTGCAGTTTTCCAATCCACAGGAGGCCAGTTTGAAGTGGTTGCTGCTCCACTTGAAGTTCCATGCATCTGTTTGAAATGATTGTGTTTTGCAGTACTTTGCTCATGCGCTGCTCCTGAAGCAAACTTTGTCTGAGTTTTTTCATCATTATCTGCCAACGAAGACATAGATGCAAGGGACCAAACTGATTCTCCATCAGGAAGCTTTGGAATCTTTTGGCTATTCAAGATGAAGAACTCTGTTTGACCCTCACTGGAACCTGATTCTGCCATGGTTGTGATCATGTGCAGGAAATTTGCCATGTGCAATTCAGGTTTTCCATCAAAAAATAAACGAGAAAGTTCCATAAACAAGGCATGGGCATCTGAATCTTTGGTTGAATACAATATATTACCCTACAAAAATAAGGAAAATAAATTATATGTAGTAGATGAGAAAGTTAATATATGCAAGTCCAAGGCCAATAACCTATTAACCACAACGTTCAAATAATGATATCCCAAATATGAAACTCTTCAAAGAGGAAGTAAAACAACTACCGACGTGAAAGCCAAAGGCAAGTCTTGTAGGTGGACTTATCAAGTAAGAAATAAAGATCTGATAGACATCTCGATACACCGACTTACTATATAAAAATAGAGTCGATAATAAGCACCAAGGGAAGAGGCACACATAGAGAAAGAGAATACTATCCACTTTGAAAAGGTGCTATTACAAACCAATTGGGTAGAACTCACCTTGCAAAACTGGTTTGCAAGGGGAGGCAATCCAAGGGGCTATAAACGTTCTATTTGTTTTATAATCATCCCATGTGGGACTTTGGTATCTAACATTCCACCACACTCTGCAACTACCGTCCACAGTGGCCCATCTTCCCAGCTGGGTGACTTTGCAGATCCCTCCTTTCTACTGGGTAGCAGCCCACCCCAGGTCGCCCCATCCGTAAGCAGCAGTTACAGAAGGATGTGGAGGACTTGCTCTAATATCAATTGATATAAACCCATATGGTAATACTCACAATTGCAAAATCAGCTTGCAAGGAGGGAACCCAAGGGCTTATAAACCCACTATTTGCCTTATAATCAGTCCATGTGGGACTTTTTGGTATGTGAATCTTGCATTTTACAAACATGAAGTGAAATGCTAACTACCATTCAAAACTCCTACTGTGGGTTTTCTTTTAATTTTTAATAATATGCTCCCAGTGTGGCTCTAATTTTTCTTCCTCAGAATCTTACCGTTTAATGTCATAAGAGGAAGTTATAGCCTTTTCTCATCTAGCTTTGAAATTCTAGCTTCAAGTTCTTCCATAAGCAATAAAACATACATGTGTAATGAGGGATGGAATGGCATACCTGGAGAAGACAAGAAGACTCAAGTCGTTTCTCGGATGTACTACCGCAACCTTTTATAACATTTTTGTAGAATAATTTTTCAACAACTACTACCTGTAAACAATCTAGAATATCAAATCCAGACTGCTTTAGTTGAGAATATTTGTCCGGGTGTGCATTATGCAAGTAGCGCTGAGCATAGGGAAGAGCCCAGTTCACCAATGATGCTTTAAATCTGGAGTCTACTACACCGTAATATACTGCTTCCCGACTTACAACCTGCATATTAATTAATGTAGGAAAGTGATAAAAGGTCAACAATACGCGCGCGCACACACACACACACATGCATGAAACAGATAGGGTCCCCTGCAAATTAGGGTGCAACAAACCCATGACCAAGTATAATAGGTGGGATCAACAACCTAATGCTTCCGAAACCTAAATAGAAACTAGGCTCTAAAATAGAACCAAGGCTCTAAAATAGAACCAAATTATACTAGTATTTATCAAGAAACTATAATCCAAAACCAATGAAAAGCATATTCTCTTACAAAATCAGAAAGATATCTCATATTTTCCTGCAGTTTCCAATTGCACTTTATGGTATATGCTTTAATATTGGTATTTTCAATCTGGTGCTAAAACACGAAGATATAAGAACTGGAAATATCGAACATTGAATTTTTAAAGCTAGTAAAATGTGAGTTTTTGCATAATCAATTTCTAATGATACTGCATACTGCATAATGTGTATGTGTTTAGTAAGAAAAATAGATGACCAAATTGAACCATATGAGAACGTGCAACAATTTTTCTTGGATTTCATAGGTTATTATAAACAATCCACTTAATTGTACTTGTGATTTAAGGGAAAAAAAAAAAAAATATATATATATATATAACACAATGGGGACAAGACGTCCACCAACAAGCACAAAAGAGAAAACCAAAACAATTGTACATAAGTTGACATTATGTGTGTGTGTGTGTGTGTTTATATAGACACAATTGCAAATAACATGTGCAGCTGAGTGCAGCAGTATCTCGATGTATGGGGAAGATGGAGATGAACAAAAAGGAAGAGATCTTACCTCTGAAAGAGCAGGTATCCCTAAAGTTCTCATGAGAACAGACACTTTTGTCTGAAGCATCTCTTTTTCATTCTTGCTCAGTTTGCCCAAGGACAAAAAATCGATCCCATTCACATGCTTAAAATGTTTTTTTAACTTTTTATCATCACACCAGCACACGAGACCAAAGTTAGGATGTAGAGAAACCCACTTATCTTGCAAGGTAGGAAGCACTGTACAGTCTGCTTTCTTAAGAGATTTTTTCAGGTAAACAACTTCCTCTGGACTTAATCCTGAATTCAGTCCATCCGCCCACTTTAAAAGAACTTGAAAAACCTGAGAAATGGGAAGGGGGAAAAAAATTAGGTTGCAGCACAACCTGCATTAACTGCAAAGAATATTGCATCCTATTTTACTTTACTTACTGCCTTGGCAGCTTGTGAAGGCAAAGTGACACTGGATAACTGCCGCAAAATCTGGAGGTACGCAGGGAGAGGAGGATTCTCATGCACCCCACACAAATCAATAAAGAAGTCATGAAGGCCAGGATAGATGTCGTGTAACGTCTTGCTCAAAGGACCAAGAGCCACATTTGTTGAGCTGTGTTGAGAATGCAACTCTTTCATATGGTCCATAGCACCAGTTGAATCACGCCAATATACTTCATTAGGTGACAAAAATATACCAGGTACCACATCCTCCTTCCTTAAAGAAAATGTGTATGGCACAAAAATGAACGGTTCGGAATGGAATTCCTCCGCCAATTTCCTTGAAGCAGCCACTTCATTCCAAATAAACGTGTACAATTTGGACATTTGCGTTATGCTAGAATGCAAAAGAGTTAAAGAGTTCTATTAAATGATAATCTAAACAAAGAAATTACCAACATCTGGCTATATGGACATTAACCTTGTCCTTGTATCAAATAGCTAATGAAAGACGAGCACTGATATCAAAACAACGGTTAGCAGTGAGAAATCCCTTGCATCAAAACATCTTTTTAACAATATGAAAAAGCATATCTAAGTTCAGATCAATTACTGAAATTACAGTTACAGATGACTAATTTCATTTAGAGAAAAGTAAAAAGAGCTCTATTTAAAAAAAAAAAAAAAAGGTAATAACTAATCTTTATCAGGTCTTAAAGAATACAAATGATTATACCAATAGTGGGGGAAAAGTGGGAGACGAGGAATAATCTTCCTGCAATCCTCCTCTCCCCCCAGGCAAAATAAATAAAGAAATACATGAAAAACTGAAATAAGAACGAAGAAGCCATTTAAGATTTGGAAACCAACATCAAAAACCACTAACATCAGTTTGTTTGTTACTTCAGGAGTCAAATTGTTCATTATTTCAAGAGAAACACCGACGTACAGTTCTGCATAGTCTCTCAAAAAACCGTCAACATAGGTGAAATCTTTTTTTTTTTTTATGTAAGAAAAGCTCCTTTATTGATTTAAAAATAATAATAGGCAAAGAGGATAAGGTATTCTCCAAATAGAAAACAATAAAAGCAACATTGAAATTACAAAAACAATCAAATCATTCAAATCAGTTTCGAATCAACAATTTAACAGAGTGCAATGTCACTTTCAAACCAAAAAAGAAATCCAACATTATAAAAGAGAATGGCTAAAGAGAGAGCGAGAGAGAGAGAGAGCAACAACAATACCTGGCCATGAATGGAGCATTACATCTCCACACTTTTAGCAGTTCAAAAACGTCTTTCAGGGTAACCTTAGTTTTAAACCCAATATCACTTACTAACTTCTCACTTTTCACCTGTTTCACAAAGAAACACAACAATATGGATCAAACAATATCCCAAGGAGATGAGACAGTATGCAAATTTTGTAACGCAACTAATACTTGCACCATCAAAAGATACTATTTTTTGGAAGGGAAAATGTGAATTTCACTCAACTACAAAGAGTCTACAAGAACAGAACTTAGACAAACTGAGAGAGCATTCACCCAACAGCAAGGAAAAGCACACAAAAGCCCCTTGTTAGGAGGAGCATGAGGCACCCCATTGGGACTACAGGCCACATAAGGAAAACTACAACTACCCAACACTATCAAGAAGTGAAAGATATCAGAAACAAGGGGCTCATAAGCCCCAAGAAAACCCTAGACTAAACAGCAGAGACTACGATGGTAAATATTTTATAGATAACCAGTACTTAAGTTCGTCCAATAACACAGAATAAGAAAAGAATTCAAAACTACAAAAGGTATACTAAAATTAAAACGATATGTAAAGGGAGTGGCAATTTTGTGTGCAGGCAAACATGCTAAACTAACCTTTGGGACAGCATATGGAGCAGATATGCCAAGAATTGAACGCACTGCATCACAGTCATGATACAAATCTTTAGCGCAATGAAGTTTATCATCCATGGTTGATGCAACCCATTCCACATCAGAGATGGTGGTTATAAATGAAGACTTGAAAGGCTTACTACTCGCAACAGATTCAGAAGTATAGTAACCAGTTGCTTTATCAGTAAAGCAAGAATCCCATAATTTGTCGAAAACCTCTAAGAGGTATTCACTGCTTTTTCTCATTCCAACCTTGGTCAACAAAGATAACAAATCGAACAACTCACGAGATTCCCAATCTTTAACAATTGATCCAAGGGAAATCGAGTGTCCCTCTGACATGAAACTTTGCAACACAGCATGAGATATTTCTGCAACAGTCTTCTCAACCTGGACTACTTTTACAAAATCTGTGATCCCAATTGACTGGAAAAATTCCCTCCATTTCGCTTGTCCAGATGGGAGTGCTTTGGTTATTGGATGCTTCAAATAGGAGATGTCCACCTCATGCCATTTCATATCCACAGAACCAATCAACTTATTTATGTTAACAGAATTTCCATACTCTTTGCTAAAATGAATAGACACTTCAGCAGGTCGTTTAAAGCCATTATTTGTTAAAATATAAACGTTGTTTTGTAGCTCGGACATTATGTACTCTCTGTCAACATGGCAATCAGAACAGCTTGAGTGTAGGTGGGACATGACAAAACAAACATATTCCGTCGTCAAATTCCTGTCCTTATCAGCAATAGTTTTATTAGATATTGCTGGAAGAATATGCACCTTGATAATTTCATGTGCAGACAGTTTTTGGACACCAATTTTATAAAGCATCATGGTGAGTTTGTCAGATAAAGTCAAATCACTATGTGAGCCATCAACAGATGATGCAGATAGGAGATCAGGACTTACAACTCGAAGTTTGGAATATAGATTTGGAAAAGACTCGATGCGATGCTCACCATCAAAACCAGAGCTTGAAGCATCAAAATGCAGCCAAATTGTACCCTCATTTACTGCACTGAATGTACCATTTGAGAGGGGAACAAATGGAATTCTCTGAAGATTATTTATAACATCTAATCCTACTTCAGACTCCGACGCAGTCCTCCCAGAGAAAGGCACCAACATTGTGTAAAGCTCAATCAGACAAGAGGACAACCAGCCAAAGCCCATTGACTTAAGGCCACTTTCCGTACGACACAAGGAGGACAAAACTTGAACCAGAATTTTTGGTCCATACTCCTCAACACCTAGAGCCCTTGCCAGCGCATCAGATAGAACTATATGCTTATCTAAGAAACCAAGACCAAGGTGTTCATGAAGCAAAGCATCAGGAAGAATAGAACGAGCCTGCTCATTCCAGCCTCTTAGAACCTTGCAAGGAGGAACCCATTCACTATTACGTCCTTCCCAAACTAAACAATTTGACATGCGTAATTTGGAAATGATCAATCGAGGAAGACTAGAAAAGAAACCGTGCACTTCCCCAACAAGTGGGACAAAGCTCATAAAAGCTGCTACAGCTTTTCCAGGATTGTCTTTAAAGCATGGAAGAGCACAAAAAGATCTTTCTGCTTTGACAAACAAACCTGGAAACTCTGATAGTAACCACTGGTTCCATGGACTACTCCCATCCACTTCCTCCCTAGATGAAGGAAGAACAAAATCGCCCTGAAGAATGAACTTTAGGCCATAAGTTCTCAGAGGAAGAAATGCAAACACAGGCTGTTGGCTCAGAAGTGGACTGTAACCACCACTAGCCGATTCCTGCAGTGTGAACGCTATTGAAATTTCTGTCATTTGTACATCAGGACGTATATAATCTGACCGTAATTTCTGTGACACAACAAACCATGTCATTTTCTCTTTTCCATTTGAGACATTAATAATACCATCCCCCACAACTTCTTTCCTCATGACAATGAGTGAATCATCCAGCAAGTTTTTAAACTTGATACACTGGAGGCGGTGAAGAAAGAGTAACAAGGATGGATGAAGATCTGCAAACATCGCCATAATACTTTTCATAACGTTTCCTTCAGATGGTCTTGATCTAAAAGGAAGCACAATGCAAGTGCTCCACTGGTTAAAATCAAACTGATCACTGCCACTAGATGACAGCCTGCTGAATAGAGCAAGGTCGCAGGGAGGTACAACTGTTGGCAAAACAAAACCAATCTGACCCTCGCTTATGTCAAACTTGACATGAAATCCATTGGAATGAATCTCTGGAGCATCTGTAATCTGCAAAACACCATTTAAATATTCATAAGATTTAACCATCAATATGAAAATAGAGTTCAATAAACTTGACATGATAGCCACTGGAATTAGTCTCTTTAGCAGACTTGTAGCCAAAAGCAAGGAACATCTGAAGAAGTAAATCTCATTTATAATAACTTTTTATAACTGGAACAAGAAACACTTATAACAGAAAAGTGAGAAAGAGATGATGTAATCCAACTGCAATCAACAATAATGAAATCCAACTGAAACTTCAATCATTAAAAGTTAAAACCTTTGGAGCAATAAAAAGGTAAGCACTCACATCTCCATTTACAGTAAAGCCATGAGTAATAGGAAACAAACTACAAGGTATTAAACTAGGAGCAGCCAACAATCAAGCAACTGACTTTCTCAGTAGCTTTACGCATGAACAATGAAAAAAAGAGCTAGTGTCTTATCAACATACCCGAAATACTGATTTAAAACCAATACCCTTCTGCCCTATATATCCCGCATTTGATCCTTTTTTTGTTGAATTTCCAATGTCACAGAGAGCTCTAATATTCTCGGTAGAGAAACCTTGCTCATTATTCAGAACAACAATACCGGAATCTTGAAGAATAAATGTCAGAGTTGGCTCCACATTTTCAGGGTAGATATTATCATCAGCATTCTGAACCTGAAGCCATAGAGAACTATAAGATGTATTTAAAAATTAAAAGAACACAACCCAATCAGAGGCTTCATAAATCTGGCTCAAGAAAAAGAATACACAACGTCTCTTTCAAAAGAAGTAAAAAAGAATGCTCACAAACAAACGTGAAATATATGACGGTTCAAAAAAGGGGATGGATGTAATAACGTTAAACAATTTTTCTCTCGAGCAAAATTCCGGAAGGCAACACCCAAATTGCATAATGAAGTAAAACCTAATACCAAGAATTTATAGATTGATGTGTGTGTGTGTGTGTGTGTGTGTGTGTGTGTCAATTTTGTGCATCACAGAGGCATGAAATACAATCAACCTTGTGCTTTGTTTCAATTGGTTATAACTCTAATAGTAAGCAATTTTTCCACCCCCACAAGAAAATATAATAAGAAAGAAGTCATTACCAGCTCAAGAAGAAAATGTGAATCCTGGGAATATAATTCCTGTGAAAGACAATGCAATGCTCTCCCTAAGCGAGCATGCTGCTTCTTTAGCATGTGTGTGTGTGTGTGTCAATTTTGTGCATCACAGAGGCATGAAATACAATCAACCTTGTGCTTTGTTTCAATTGGTTATAACTCTAATAGTAAGCAATTTTTCCACCCCCACAAGAGAATATAATAAGAAAGAAGTCATTACCAGCTCAAGAAGAAAATGTGAATCCTGGGAATATAATTCCTGTGAAAGACAATGCAATGCTCTCCCTAAGCGAGCATGCTGCTTCTTTAGCATGCCACTCTCAACGTTTGAAAGTCTTGGATCCAGACCGAATTCATCTCTCCTGATAGACTCAATGACAAGAGCTGCCTCTTCATGTTCCTTTTGTTCAGAAGGACGCAGTGAGCCACCACAGACAATTTTATCATCAGAAGCTTCTACATTGTTGATCACAGAAGAATCGCAGGCACGTTTTTTGCTTTTCTTATGTGTCCTGACAGAAGTATTCTTGTTCCCTTCAGCAGTGGAAAACTTGTCCAACACATCTTGCTTGCGTTTTGAACGTGTCTTTACCTTAATTCCAACTGCTTTCAAGCACAAAGCATCAGATGGGAACAAATCAGTAACGGCTGTCGAACAAAATGCATGGTAATCATTGATCCACTCCACCACACCAAGAGATAACCCAACTTCATGAAGCATGAGACGCTGATCTGTTTGGCTACACTCGTGTAAAATGGCTGCAGCAGCATCTTTGATAATAGATTGCATCCCTGAAAGAAGTACATCAGCAGCAAATGCACGAATCTCTGCAGGTATATAATGAAGACAATCAACGACAAACTTTGATGTAGCAGACACTGAGTTGTTCATTTTGCTCAAGTTGCTCTGTGATTCTCCATCTCCACACAACACTTTCCCACTAAAATAAGAATATCCAGAGCCACTTAATTCCACATTTTCTAGAGAATTCTTCAATATTACTTTAAATGCCTGCTGGGCATGGCATTTTAAAAGGGAAATGGGAACATGTTTCTGTCCCCCAACTACAGAGATCAGAGATAACAATTTTACTGCTGTTCGGTGAGAGGATCCTTGAATTGCAGCTTCTAGAAATGAGTCAACCGTAGCAGAAGGATCTATCCGAAGGACCTTTCCATCTCTGGTCACCAAACACAACAATTCATCCGTTTTGACCTCTTTCAATAACCATGACACAAGAGGACCAAGTGAGGGAGCAAATATAATGTCCCAATGTGACCATAAATTTAAATCTGACAACATTGGTGCCTTTAGCAAGACTTCAATTGCATCCTTGGATGTAACAGATTCATGAGGTCTGATATCTTGATCATTATTAGTGCAATCCAGTAGGCCGTTCTTGTTACGTGCTGACAGTTCTGGAGCATTAGTTGTGGTACATAGTGTTAAAGAGAATATAATAGATTTAGGAATTGAGACGTTTTTGTCCTTCACCGCCATGCTAATGAAATCATTTAAAGAACCATTTGATAAGATGTTGAAAGTGATGGATGGAAACTGCCTCATAAGAAGTGAAAAAATATCCTGCTTGGTTATGTTTTTATCCTCCCATAAATTATTTGAAGCTTGTGATAGTAAAAGAACCAATTGATGGTGCATCATGCAAACCTCCAAAGGACTTTTCTCACTTATGTCACCTGTAAGGAATTTGCACAGCTCTTTTGGTAGCAGAGAAGCATATTTTTCTAAAAATAGTGTGAAATCCCCATAACCAAGGGATCTGAATTCCTTGACACGAAATTGTTCTGCCAGCCAATGCGGACAATTGGAAAGGTTTTTCCACATGCTAAATCTCTTTTCCACAGATGTCCTATCATTTGTAAAGACATTGTCATCAAGCTTGAGATATGCTGCAACTTTCTTTATAACGTCTTCAACTGAAACTGCTGTAAAGTTTGAAAGCACATGGTAAGAATACAAGTCTCAAGAGGGAGTAAAATTAGAGTGCAACAAATATTTGAAGAATTTAGCCCCACTTTTTAATACTTGAATAGGCTCCCACTTTTTGGCCCTCTTAAATAAAAACAGTTACTCCAAATAATAATAATAACAATAGTAGTAATAGTAAAACAACAACATGATGATGATGATGATGATTATAATAATAGTAAAGTAATAATAATAAGAATAATAAAGATGCAATTACGTTGAAATAATGACTAGTCTATCATGGCATTTACAAAGTGCTACCCTTATATCAAGCCAACTTTTAACTTGTTTCATGACTTACGCATTTAAGGTAACGATATCCAAATACCTCCTAATTTCTAATCACATTTGTATGATCAGAAAAGCTAGAACCAACCACTAAAGAAAAACGTTAAGAGTAAAACCATGATAATAATCCACAATAGCCTATCTATATTCAACAAAGATCAACTAAGAAGATACTCACAAAGTGTATGGTCCGCCGTAGGTTCAGGAATCACTCTTACATCCTTTGTACTTGGTTCAACATCTATGCTCTCATACTCACAATCATCATTGATCAGTGTCTTAGATAAATCGTATTGACTGACGGCTTGTACAGTGTCGTAGATGCTGTCCCACATTCCCAATTTGATGGACAAGACCTAGAATACAGAAATAATAAACTTATTAAGCAATTCAACGTAAATTGTATAACAACAATGGATAAGGAAGAAAAAATTGATCAACTTACAGCAACGTTTAATATTCCAATGAATGGATAAGATGAATAAATAGATCTTGTCTTCCTTAAGAATTGAACTTTATAAAAACGAATCATCCTCTTCAATACCTACAAGTACCAAGATCTATCTGGTAAGTGCTTATTATGTACCCAAATAACCAGCAAGAAATAGAACGCCAGGTACAAGTCAAAACCAACAAAATCGATGAGTGCTTCATACTCACGGCAATCATCCAGAAAAGACAACCATGGAGTAAATAAACCGGTAAGAGAAACATATAAACCATATAACTTAAATATTAAGATTATATTTAGACTAGCCAACTCTTAAATACCCAACAAGCACCATGATACATACTGCAAACATAAACATCATGCGAAATAAAAAAGAATATGAACATACCTGACCCACACTGACTCCCCGACATCTCTCCTTCCAAATTGTAATGAACATTCTCAAAGATTCATTGGTTAGTAAAAACTTATCTTCATTAATACTGCAAAAATCATCTTCATTCGTATTGTTATTCTCCTGTGCACCATTCTCGTTCTCTAGTGGCAGAACATCAAGGCGTACCTTGTCCATCTTTTTCAGTTTTGCGGGTGCAGAGTTAGTGCTACTTAGTTCTTCATTTCTTCCTTTCTTTTTAGCTGATCCAATATTCTTATGGTGCTTTTGGCTGTCACTTGCTGGAGACAGATGCAGTTTCATTTCACCTTTCAATCCAAGCCGTTTCATCTCTTCAGTTGCAGAAGGGTAAGGACAACTACTTACTCTGTCAGAACATTTGACAGATTGTGATGAGAATTTACCATGATCGTCTGTAACATAGTCACTATCATCTTCATATGTACAATCATTGCTACGTTCATCCTCTGAGCTTGATGATGCAAATCTAATGTGCTTGCCACGAAAAACTGTCTTTTCATTATTAAATGATCCAACACGCTTGGAAATAGCATCAAACCGTTCGTCTAGTTCCTTTTTCATCATGGAGAGAAGGGGACGTGTCTCACCTCTTTTTCTCTTTGGTTCTTTAAGTGCCTGGTTATGATTACAAATGACAGTATCTTCCAAAATCCTAGCCTTCCGGATGTTATGAATGAGTTTCCTACAATCACAGTATTTTTCAAATAATATTGTTTATTTGTGTATATAATTGACAAGAATGATACTGCTATACTGTACAAACCCTAAAGAACGAAAGATAACAATATTTACTCATGAAGATTTAAACAATCTTTTGATGTTTTCAGGGAAGAATGGGATCAAGTCCCAAATGTAAAACAAATATAGAACAGAAAAAAAAAAATCACAAATTCAAGCACCCAAGTCAATGGTCCAATATAACTAGAATAATCACGAAATAGTTTATTCTATAACCAGGTCTCCAATTTTAAGTGGACAATAACAAAAGTTGAAAACTGTAAAGCGTTGATATATCAAAAAGAAAAGATTCTGAAACATATGCACACATGATCAGCTGCTTAGACATTACCCGTATTTAAAAAAAAACAAAACAAAACAAAACAAATATATAGTTAGAGTAAGGAAGAATAATGAAGTCTGCAGCTATCTAAAAACCTGAAGATACTTTGACTGGGAGAGTTTTTTTATTTTTTTTATTTTTTATTTTATTTTTTGGAACAGGAAAGAAAAGAAAAGAAAAAAGAGAGGAGTGCATGTGAGGTATATCAAGGTACTTAAAGACATGTACGATAGGGTGGTCACGAGTGTGAGAACTGCTGAAGGCTACACGGCAGAGTTCTCCATTAAGATCGGCCTTCATCAAGGATCTGCTCTTAGTCCATATTTTTTCACCATCGTGGTGGATGAGCTGACAAGAGAAATCCAAGATAGAGTTCTTTGGTGTATGCTTTTTGTGGACGATATAAATTTAGTTGATGAACATAGGGAAGGAGCTAACCGTAAGTTAGAACTATGGAGACAGACTCTCGAGATGAAGGGATTTAAGTTAAGTAAGACGAAAACTGAATGCATGCATTGTAGGTTTAGGGGTTGTTCTTTTTGCATTTTTGAGTTATGATGACTTGAGTGGTGATCTTGAGTTGAGTTTGAATTATAACTTGAGTTGAAGTTGTAACTTGAGTTTGTGTTTGGATGTGCATATTTAAGTTATGATTTGAATTAAAAATCTTTTTGAGTTTGTATTTAAATGGGTCAAAACTTAAATTTATATTTAGATAGTATTTTAATAAAAAATCAATAGTGATGAAAAATTTTAATAGGGTATATGGGTGAGATTTTATTCGTCTTTTCATTGTGAATGCATAGAAAAAAAATCATCTCAATCAGAATTAAAACGAAAAAGTTATGGCATTTTTAAGAATAGAAAAAGCACTGTTCATTAACTTGAGTTCGAGTTTATGAACTCAAACTGAAGGGAAAACTTGAACTCGAGTTTAGCTCCAAACTCGAGTTCAAACTCGACTTCAAACTCGAGTTCAAACTCGACTTCAAACTCGAGTTAAAACTCAAATTTTACAAAAGAACATGAACTTGAATAAAATTTTAACTCGAGTTCAAACTTTTTCTGAGTTTCGTTGTAAAAGAAAAACCCCTTAATAACTCAAGTAAGAATAGAAAAAACACTGTTCATTAACTTGAGTTCGAGTTTATGAACTCAAACTGAAGGGAAAACTTGAACTCGAGTTTAGCTCCAAACTCGAGTTCAAACTCAACTTCAAACTCGAGTTAAAACTCAAATTTTACAAAAGAACATGAACTTGAATAAAATTTTAACTCGAGTTCAAACTTTTTCTGAGTTTCGTTGCAAAAGAAAAACCCCTTAATAACTCAAGTAATCAGAGTGATGGAATTTCTTTAGATGGTGTGGAGATTGAGACTTCTAGGAAGTTTAGGTACCTTGGGTCTATAGTGCAGTACGAAGGAAATATAGAAGAAGATATTCAACATAGGATTAAGGCAGGGTGGGTTAAGTAAAAGAATGCTACGGGAGTTTTACGTGATGGCAAGATGCCTATTAAGTTGAAAGGAAAATTCTATAGCACTATAATCCGCCCAGCTATGTTATATGGTAGTGAATGTTGGGCCATTAAGAGACAACATATATCTAAAATGAGTGAGGTAGAAATGTGTATGTTAAGATGGATGAGTGGCCATACGAGAATGGATCGCATAAGGAATGAAGTTATTCGTAATAAAGTAGGTGTAGCACCAATAGAAGATAAAGTGCGCGAAGGCCGCTTGAGGTGGTACGGGCATGTCCAACGTAGACCGCTAGAAGCATCAGTTTGTGCTTAGGAGGACATTCTTATATCTAATACTAAGAGAGGGAGGGGTAGACCAAGAATTACGTGGACTAAAGTAGTTAGGAAAGATATTCTAGATCTAGGACTTCAGGAAAGTTTAATTTCGAACAGAGCTGTGTGGAAAAGTGAAATCCATATAGCCGACCCCAATTAAGTTGGGATTAAGGCTTGTTATTGTTGTTGGAATAGGAAAAACCATTTTCATTAATAAGGATAAATTACAAGAAAAAATGAGGAGAGATCTTGTTAAGCCCAAGCCCCTACAGACTTATGTGCGTAGGGTTAGGGGGCAAATTAGTCTTTTGGTATTGTATGGATTTAAGGCTTTAGTATAAAGAGGGCATTAACAAATTAATTATGTTTATGTTGAGTTTTGACAAAGTTATTAAGAATAATTATGAGTTTTAGAGAGATTGACCTACCTCTCAAATTATAGGTCAGGATTTGTCTTTCAGTTGATTTGATTAATAATAATAAGCCCTAATCCCAATTGATTCTTCTCTGAAACCTATCAAATTGGTATCATAGCAAAATCCTGGGACAATGGCAGCAAAGAAGGTGGACGCGCTTGAAGAGAAATTAGAAACGGAAGTTGGATCGCTCAAGACCACCATTGACGAGCGATTTAACACCGTCCAACAACAATTTTCATCCCTTGAGGCCATGTTGCTATGAAATCAACGGAGCTCCACCTCAACCCACCACCGGCAGCAGCGACGAGCCATAGTGGCACAACGGGAGAGGGGTCCGACATTACGAAACCCGTGGTCGATGACGGCGCAGGGGGAGGGGGGCCGGAAACCGCCAGTTTCGCGCGGCCAGAGGCAACGGCCCGCGGCAGATCTGCTAGCGCGGATGACGGCCCAGGGGACACGCGACTTAAGGGGACTTTTCCTCGGCGTTGGGTGCGGCGGGGGACGCTTGGTCGCAGCTGGGGGCAGCGGATCAGAGGCTTTCGCTGCTGGAGGAGGCGGCCTAGGGCTATGCGCGTCGGGGTCCGGCGTTTCGGCGCCGCCTTGGGGCGCGCCAGGGCCAAGGGTGGCTGGGCACGGCGTCTCAATGCTGTTTGGGGGTGATTCCAGGCCTAGGCCTGGCAGATCAGGGCCTAGGCAAGGCAGATTCGCGCTTGGGCAGGGCGGATTTGGGGGCGTACGGCCGGGAGGAGGGGTTTCCGACGAGAGGGGAAGCAGGTATGACGGGATTGCGGCTGGGCAAGGGTTATCAACTCAATTTGGGGCTGGGCAGGGGGGATTATGGGCTGGGTCTTCCGGATTTATGGAGAGTGGAAGAGAATCGGGAGGTTTGAGGCCTCCAATGGCGCTAAATTGGGCGGGGCAGACCCAATTTGGGGCGGATTCTAGGGTAAGGAAGCTGAAAATGCCCATTTTCAAAGGCGATGATGCATATGGATGGGTGTATAGGGTAGAGTGCTATTTCGCTATCAATGGACTCTCAGAGAGGGAAAAACTGATAGCAGCGGCTTTATGTTTGGAGGGAAAGGCCCTTGCGTTGTTTCAATGGCGAGAACAACGACAACCATTGAGGTCGTGGGATGAATTTAAGGACAGGTTGTTGGAGAGGTTTCGAGCCACTCAAGAGGGACATTGACACGAACAGTTTTTTGCCCTGACCCTAGATAGGACGGTCATGGAGTCTAGGGAGAAATTTGAGCTGCTATCGGGTCGTTTAGGGGGAATCTCAGAAGCGGCGTTGGAGGGGGATTTTAGAAGGGACTAAAGCCGGAGATCCAAGCGACGCTGCGTTTGCTAAGACCGAGAGGGTTAGGGGAGACAATGGAGTTGGCACAGATGATTGAGGATAAGATTGCAGCGGAGCGAGTCAATAAGAGCAATTCAGTCGGTTTTTCATACCAAAACAGCACACCATCAGGAGGACAGAAAACTCAAACGTTGGGAATTCAGAGAGAGCCCCAAAAGGATCGGGTTAGTGGGGCGCGTCCGGGAGTGACTTTCAAACGCCTCACTGAGACAGAGATTCAGGACAAGAGGGCGAAGGGGTTGTGCTTTCGATGCGATGAGAAATTTTTCACGAGGCACCAATGTAAGCATTGAACACTACAAGTCCTGACTGTGGATGATGAGGAGGAAGGCGGGGAAGAAGCCGAGGAAGAAGAGATGGAAGAGGAGCATCTTCACCTTGACGTGGCCGAAGTTCACTTAATTCGGTGGTGGGATTTACACCGAACCACACCATGAAGTTAAGGGGGAGTATCGGCGAACGGGATGTGGTGGTGTTGGTGGATAGTGGAGCGACCCAAAATTTTATTTCCAATCGAGTAGTAGACAGTTTGGGCCTCCATTTGACAGACACCGGCAGTTTTGGGGTGGTCATGGGTACTAGATTGGTGGAGAAGAGTAGGGGAATATGTAGAGGATTGATCTTGAGGATACAGGGAGTTCAAGCGTTGGAGGATTTCCTTCCCCTAGATTTAGGAAGTATACAGATGTCATCTTGGGGATGAAGTGGTTACAATCATTGGGAGAGATGAGGGTAAATTGGAAGTTGTTGACAATGGCGTTTCAGTTTGGGGATCAAGCAGTGGTTCTGCGGGGCGACCCGAGTCGATGCAAAACTCTGGTGTCGCTCAAGACTATGGTGAGGGCAATTCAGGACGCAGGGCGCGAATTTTTGATCGAGTTGCATAACCTCGAAGGGGAGCAGAGAGAGACAAACAGGATGATTCTAGAGCAGATTCAACAGTTGTTGAGGCGCTTTGAGGGGGTTTTCCGGATGCCGAAGGGGCTACCCCCACAGCAGGATCACGAGCACGCGATCGTGCTTAAGGAAGGGGCCTCACCCGTTAGTGTCCGCCCATATCGCTATCCCCAGATACAGAAGGATGAGATTGAGAGGCTGGTCAAGGAGATGTTGGAGACAGGGATCATACAACAAAGCGTGAGTCCGTTTTCGAGCCCGATTTTATTGGTGAAGAAAAAAGATGGGCGTTTGAGATTTTGCATCGACTATCGAGCCCTGAACAAGGAGACGATACTGGATAAGTTTCCTATTTCAGTGATCGATAAGTTGTTGAATGAGTTGCATGGAGCAGCAATTTTCACAAAGATTGACTTGAAGTCAGAATATCCCCAGATTTGGATGCGGCCAGAGGATGTGCATAAGACTACATTTCGGACTCATGAGAGACATTACGAATTCCTACATAAGACTACATTTCGGACTCATGAGAGACATTGCGAATTCCTACATAAGACTACATTTCGGACTCATGAGAGACATTATGAATTCCTAATCATGCCGTTTGACCTCACGAATGCTCCAGCCACTTTTCAGTCATTGATGAATAAAATATTTCAACCTTATCTACAGATGTTTGTCTTGGTTTTCTTTGATGACATCTTAATCTACAGCAGTTCTCTAGAGAATCATGGGAGCCATTTGGAGATAGTGTTGGCTGAGTTACAAAAACATCAGTTGTTTGCCAATCAGAAGAAGTGTTTGTTTGCTCAGGCGAGGGTGAAGTATTTGGGGCATGTGGTGTCAGCTGCGGGGGTTTCAACAGACCAGTCTAAGGTGGTGGCAATGCTGGAGTGGCCATTACCTAAGACGCTGAAGGAGTTGAGAGGATTTTTGGGGCTCACTGGGTACTATCGGAAGTTTGTGAAAGGGTATAGCACCATAGTGTGGGCCCTGACGGAGCAGTTGAAGAAGGACAACTTCCAGTGGGGGGAAGCGGCGACTCAAGCTTTCGAGAAGCTGAAACGAGCCATGACCAATGTGCCGGTGTTGGCTTTACCAGACTTTAGCCAACCTTTTATTATGGAGACGGATGCATCGGGGTATGGGCTAGGGGCAGTCCTCATGCAGAACTAGCGACCAATCGCTTATTTCAGCCAAGTGTTAACCGCACGAGCATGGCTCAAGGCAGAGATGAGCGCGAACTCAAGGCAATTGTGTTAGCCGTATAGAAGTGGAGGCCATACTTATTGGGGCGACGTTTCATTATCCGAAGGGATAAGCGGAGTCTCAAGTTTCTGTTGGAGCAACGGTTGGTGACTGAGGAACACCAGCGTTGACTGTCTAAGCTGTTGGGGTATGACTTTGAGATACAATATCGCCCAGGGTTGGAGAATAAGGCAGCGGATGCCTTGTCGAGACGGGTGGAGGAGCCGCAATTGGTAGCGTTATCGGTGTCTTTGTTGATGGATTGGGAGGCGCTACTACGAGATATTGAAGTAGACAAGGGGTTGGAGAAGATCCGAACTGCGTTAGCGCGAGGGATGACAAGATATCCAGGCTATTCTTTGGAGGGGCAGCAATTGTTATACCAGGGGCGTCTCGTTTTGCCGAGAACATCGCCCCATATACCGAGGTTACTGCAGCAGTTTCATGGGAGTGCGATTGGGGGTCGCTCCGGGGTTCTTGAGACTTACCGGCGCTTAGCAGCTGAGTTGTATTGGGTGGGAATGAGGAAGGATGTGGAAGACATGGTAGCCAGGTGCGATGTGTGTCAGCGTCACAAATACCAAGCAATGGTGCCAGGAGGGTTACTGCAACCTCTATCGCTACCGGATAAGGTTTGGGAGGAGGTGACGATGGATTTCATTGAGGGGTTGCCTCGGTCGGATGGGTTTATGGTGATTTTGGTGGTGGTTGATCGTCTTAGTAAGTATGCTCACTTCATACCCTTGCGACACCCTTATACCGCAGTGACAGTGGCGGCAGCCTTTATGCGAGAGGTGGTGCGTTTACACGGGATTCTGGGGTCGATAGTGACGGACCGGGATAAGGTCTTTTTGAGCCATTTTTGGAGAGTTGTTTAAGATGCAGGGGACGGTATTGAAAAGGAGCACGGCTTATCATCCGCAGACCGATGGGCAGACTGAGGTAGTCAATCACAGTGTGGAGACTTATCTGCGGTGTTTTGTGTCAGATACGCCCAAGCAATGGGCAAAGTGGTTGGTGTGGGCTGAGTATTGGTACAATACCTCTTACCATACTGCTTCACAGACCACTCCTTTTAAGATCTTATATGGACGGGACCCGCCGCATTTGGTGCATGATGGGCATAGCACGACACCTATATATGTCGCAGGTGAATCAGTACTTGGAAGAAGGGGAAAGAATGTTGGAAGAGTTGAAGATGCATTTGTCTAAGGCTCAGCAGATTATGAAGAAGCAGGTTGATGGTCATAGGAGGGATGTACAGTTTGCGGTGGGGGACTGGATATACTTGAAGCTTCGACCATATCGGCAGAAGACCTTGGCGCGGTGGAGGAATGAGAAGCTCTCTCCTCGGTATTTTGGGCCTTATGAGATTATAGAGAGGATTGGCGAGGTGGCTTATCGTTTGAGGTTGCCACCCTCTTCGGCAATTCATCCGGTGTTTCATGTCTCAATTGAGACAGGCTATTGTTGACTATACACCCTCTCCTTTACTACCGCCTACGTTGACTGAAGATATGGAGGTTGTGTTCGAACCAGCTGCTTTAGAAGGCGTACGCCAAGGGCTGTCAAGACAATTGAGCAATAAAGAGGTGCTGATTAGATGGAAGGATTTGCCAAACTATGAAACGACATGGGAACCGTTTGACTTGATTCAAGAGCAGTTTCCTTTGTTCCACCTTGAGGACAAGGTGTCTCATAGGGAGGGGAGTAATGTTAAGCCCAAACCCCTACAAACTTATGTTAGGCGTAGGGTTAAGAGGGAAAATTAGTCTTTTAGTATTTTATAGATTTAGGACTTTATTAAAAAGAGTGCATTAACAAGTTAATTATGTTTATGCTGAGTTTTGTCAAGCTATTAGGAATAATTAGGAGTTTTTGAGAGATTGACCTACCTCTCGAATTGTAAGTCAGATTTGTCTTTCAGTTGATTTGATTAATAATAATAAGCCCTAATTCAGCCCTAATCCCAATTGATTCTTCTATGAAACCTATCAGATCCTCAAAAATTATAAAAAAGCAACGCCTAAAGCTTGGCCATACAGCAATAAAAATAAAATAATAAAGTGAAAAGGAAATAGCTCTAGTCCTCAAAAGAAGCTACCTACCAATTACATCCATCCAATTTAAAATCATCATGGAGAATGGGATGTCCTTGAACACTTTGTCAATTTAAGCCATATGAGGCCAAGAACTTGACCTTCATTTTTTTTATTGAATAAAAACGAAAAGAACTTGGCCTTTGAACATTGAAGTCTAAGTGGATACAAACAACGAGTAAAAAAATTGATTCAACAGTTTTTAGTTTCCTAAAAATCTGCAAGACTGACTTCTAGAAAGAGCAATTCTCTAATATTCATTTTGTAATAAACAAATTCAAAAGTCAACTAGCAAAACAGCCAAAAAAAAAAAGACTAGCACAAAATTACATGGGCAACTAGAAGAAAATTTACTTCAGACTAATAAAACTTTGAGCATTTTAACAATTTAATTCTTGAACTTTCAATTTTAGTAGATTACTCCATCAACATTTTTTTTTGTGTAATTTCGGCCCCAGACACAAAGTCAATTCTCTAATATTTCATTTTGTAATAAACAAATTGAAAAGTCAACTAGCAGAACAGCCACACAAAAAAACAAAAGGACTAGCACAAAATTACATGGGCAACTAGAAGAAAATTTACTTCAAACTAATAAAACTTTGAGCATTTTAACAATTTAATTCTTAAACTTTCAATTTTAGTAGATTACTCCATCAACATTTTTTTTTGTGTAATTTCGGCCCCAGACACTAAAAGTAACAAACAATTTCTAAAATTTAACAACAATAACTATTAACGTAAAATGTTGATTATTATACAATATCGATATATTAAATTTCAGAAACCTTCGTCAATTTTAGTGTCAGAACCAAAACTGCCAAAAACAAGTTCAAGGTTTAATCTACAAAAATTAAGGGGTTATTCTTTTGCAACGAAACTCAAAGAAGTTTGAACTCGAATTACAACTTTATTCAAGTTCATGTTTTTTTGTAAAATTTGAGTTTGAACTCGAGTTTAGGGCTAAACTCGAGTTCAAGTTTCCCCTTCAACTCGAGTTCATAAACTCGAACTGAAGTTAATAAACAGTATTTTTTCTATTCTTAAAAATGTCATAACTTTTTCGTTTTAATTCTGATTGAGATGATTTTTTTTCCTATGCATTCATAACGAAAAAACGAATAAAACTACACCCATATACCCTATTAAAATTTTTCATCACCATTGAATTTTTATTAAAATACTATCTAAATACAAATTTAAGTTTTGACATGTCCAAACACAAACTCAAATAGATTCTCAATTCAAATCATAACTCAAATGTGCACATCCAAACACAAACTCAAGTTACAACTTCAACTCAAGTTATAACTCAAATTCAACTCAAGGTAATCACTCAAGTCACCCTAATTCAAAAATGCAAAAGAACAACCCCCAAAAGTTTAGGGACAAAAGTGTCACTATGTTGAAAGTTCAAAGACCAATAGCGCCAATAGCTACAGATTAATGAGGTTTCAATTCCAAAAAATATTGCACTAACTGATGTTCTATCATTTAGGGGGAAAAGAGTATTGAGCATAAATGTGTTACATACCCAAAGTGCAGAATTCGTATACCAAGCTTTTCCTTGCCGGCAACTGATCGCTTTTCAGCAACAAAATCTAAAAATTCCTCAAGCTTAACATCTTTAGAACTACAAAGATTTCGGAATTGAGAAAGTAGAAGTATGATCTCCTCAGTTGTTATTTTCAAAATATCAATTGTATCCACATTCACTGAGAAATAATGCAGAACAAGTGGATGTCGAGCCAAAGGGCCCAAACCCAGCTCTTCAAACTGTCCAATCCCTTCATCCTTGCAGATTTCCACTCCCAACTCGTACACTGAAGTGATTCTCCGCACACCAACAAAGCAATGGATAAACGCATCTATCTAATACCAGTGGAAAATAAGTAAAAGTAGGTGAAAAGAATATACTTTGAAAACAGTAGTATTTTCCAATATATCATATCAATTCTAACGGTTGCAGCTTAAAGAGAAATAAGTAGTCACAAATTTTGTGTGTTTCTTTTCTGTTTGTTTGACGAGAAAATTGAAGAAATTTATCTAAAAGAACAAAAATCAGATCCTTTTGTGTCAACAAAGGAAGTAAATATAAATAAATTAGTCAATATTTTTCCGGAAATATCCTTAATTCGAGGTGTAACGATATTCCATCCCCTCATATCCAAGAAATAATGTGCCTTCCACACAATGTTACTGAGGAATTAATATTCCATTTTTTTCTTCACAATTTCACCCGTAGTGTAAAATTGAACAAAAACAAAAATAAAACGAAAACAGTAAGGAACAACCTTTGAAAGAACATGATTATTTTCTCAATGATGTACTTTTTATCTTGATATACAATGTAAAGTATTGCAAAATTGTAAAAAGATACCCCATGTTTGGTTCGGCTATTTGAACTAAACAATTCAATTCAAATTGTGCCTAAAAGTTCAAAATTCAGATAGTTGATTTTAGAATTCACCGCCGTTAAATTTAACAATCTCGATTGTTGTGAACAGTTCAAATATAATTATTTTTACTTCTCTCTTCAACTTCAAGCTTAAAAATGTCATAACTTCTTCGTTTCAACTCCAATTGAGATGATTCATAATTAAGAGAAAACAAATCCGAACCATATTGCACATTTAAATGTCTTTTACAATGAGGTTTTATAAGATAGATTTGTTGCAAAACTCTAATAACAGTTTTTAACACTCTATTCAAACACAATTCAGATTTCATTCTAATTCAAATTATAACTTATTTGCATATCCAAATATCATTTTGAAGCGCAATTCAAATCACCATAATTCGGATTCTACAAGTAGATTCAAATCACCACAATTCAGATTCTACAATTCAAACCCAAATCAGACTCGAACGGCAAACCAAACAAGAACATAGTGAATTAAACTGTTATTTCACCAATGTATTTATTTTCACCTTGCACATCTTTGTACGTTCATTCTGTTCTATATACCTAAAAACAGAGAGATTTCAGCAACCACATTACCTTTCCTTCGGTGATCATAAGACTATGAAGCGATGGGACTTGCTGCATAGAAAACCCCAAAGAGCCCCACGAATCGACCTGGAGGGCCACGAGCGCAGCCTGAGCGACCTTCCATGACGAGACGCTCTCTCCGGCGGCGATAAGATCGGTCCGAGCCTTCGCGACGGCCCCGTCGACCTTCTCGGCCCGAGCCTGAGAGTGCGTTGCTGGAGTGGAGATCTGCTGGTGCTGCTGCTTGTAGGAGAAGCTCGGGTTGGGGTTTGGGGGGTGAACGTTAGAGTTTTGCGGCGGAAAGTTGGGAGGAAAATTGGGGGTATGTTGCCAGAGGTGGTAAGGAAATGGATTTTGAGGCTGTGTGAAGGCAGGAGTTTGGGAATAAACGTTTTGCAAGGGGAAATTAGGGTTTTGAGGTTGGGACGACGACGGCTGAGACGGTTGCTGTGGCGGTGGCCATCTCCAGTGGCGTCCGTCCATGGCGGCGAGAGAGAGAGGAGGGAAACTGAATGAAGGCTACAATCAGAGAACTAGGGTTTAAAAACAAACTCGTTTATTGGGTTTGTTCGTTTACACCCAATCACTCAAAAAAAACCCACTCAAGTTAGTATTTATATTATTGTATGTTTTTTAAGGAAACTATCAGGTGGTTCGGCTTTCTAACGGCGGCCCGCGTATGTTTTTATTTTCAAGTTTAATGGCTCGGATACAATTTTTTATTTTCAAAGGAAAGTAAAAAATTTGTATTAATTATAAAAACTGTCTCTCAATTATACTCTGGTAACATTTTATTTTTTAATTTTTAAAATATAACATTTATTTCTTTTAAATAATGAAATATTAACAAAAAGTTCCTTCTGTTAAATTTTTAAAGAAAATTGACATATAATTTATTATTTTAGGGTAGTTAGTAGCTCTATATTTTAAAATTTTTGTTTGCATTTAAAATTAATTTAAATTTAAACTTTTAATTATGATACAAATATTATTATTGAATGTAAGTTAAAAAAATTTTATGCATTTTTTTGTAGATTAAAAAAATTTATGAAGTTTTTTTTAAAATATTTAATTTAATTTAGATTTAAATTAAATTTTAAATCATAAAATTATTAAAATACCATCAAAATAGTAAATTAAATACCAATTTCAGTTAAAACCCTAACGGCGAGACTTTTTTTGTTAATATTTAATTGTTTATGGGAACAGATGTTACGTTTTAAAAATTATGAGATAAAGTGTTACATGAGATATAAATCAAAAGAATTTTTGTAATTAATACAAAAAAAAATTCCGTCTTGAAAGTTCACTGTTGTCTTTACAAAAAAGATAAATAAATAAATAACAATAAATAAAAATATTTGGAAGTACAACTAATGCTAAGCACCATGACTAATAAAAGTTGTTTAATGGGATCCACCTAAGATTGTACAAGAAAACTAAAAAATGAACACAGACCGACCATCGAAATCGCTTAAGTAGAACTTCAGTGCCATATGAAATCGACATGGTTGGTTAAGAAAACCGTACATTTACTTGTTTTTGAGTCGATTGTCGAAAGTGGTTTCAGCCCACCCTCCACAACACACACACAGAAATGTGTCCAAAATAAACAATAAGGACATACCCGATATTACACATGCCTTATTATTTAAAAGTATATATTTTTAAATATTGTATATAAGTAGACATTGTTAAATTCAAGGTTTTCAGAGTAGACATTTCATGTAGTTATTTCTAAATTTTTTGAAAAAAAACACAGAAAATTGTTAGCAAAAACAATGGGCCACAAACTAGTATACCACCGGTTTAATGAAAACTGAAAATCAAAGAAAACCAAGCGACGATAATCGACCTTAAATCGATTGGAAACCGACCAACAATTTCCACTTTTGACTCAGTTCATTTCTACTTTTAAAAAGTAATGGAGTGGGATCGGTTATCAAACCGACCAAAACCGTTGGTGTCCAAATGACATATAACTTTAAATCTATATTTTATTAATGTATGATACTCGGTACTACTGTTTCCTCATATTGTTTAGTTGCCGTAAACATTTTGAAAAAGTTTTAGTGAGAAGATCATTCTGAGAAAATGAATTATATGAAACTTTTTTTGGGGTAGAAAGTTTTGAATTTGAAAAATGATATATCCACCTCTTTTTAATGGATTTTTGACACAATAATTATTGATGTGACACAATAAAAATTTTAAAAACAATTAGGGTGCATTTCGTAGATGAATTTAGAATCATGATTCTGGATCCTAGTTCAGAATCGGTGTTTGTTTACAGTGATTCAGAATGAGTGTTTAGTTTGGATGATTCTGAATGCTTCAGAATCTGATGTTATGTTTTAAAGTAGCTCAAATCATGTTTCTAAAACCACATCTCCTCTTGATTCAAGGTGATTCAAATCCCTGATTCTGAATCATAGTTTCAAAATCATAATTTGAATCCAAAATTATGAATCATGATTTTGGTTCCAGAATCATGATTAGAATCACCCTAATTTGAATCACCTTAATTTAAATCATCGTACCAAACGAATCCTTATTGATTTGTGTTGTGCTCAGTAGAGTTACATCTACTTTACTTGTTTTGTGGCAACGGAATTGCAGTAGAGTTATTTATGATACTTGCCAGGAAAAATACTCGTGGATTGACTAATTCTTGTGGGGAAAAAACTTTTAGTTTTATTGTTACGTGACAATATAAATCTATATCTATGTCTATATTTATACATACTTAAAAGAAATAAGGATTTAACTTCTAAAAAGGCTATGTATTGGCCTCTATAGAGGTCACATGTTGGCCTCTTATATCTTTCTTTTTTTCTTTTAATTTTTTTTACTTTCCCTCTTTTTTTCTTTTTCCATTTTTTTAACTTTTTTATTTTTCCTCTCTTTTTCTTTTGCCTATTACTTTCTTTTTTATTTTTTCTCCATACAACTAACAATAGATAAAAGAGTCAAAGCTCTTTCTCCACTTTCTTTTTTTATTTTTTTTTATTTTTATACATTTGAATTTTTTGTTTTTTTAAATATATTGTTCCTTACTTTACTCCTATGAAAGTAACTTTTTTTTGCATGTATTCCTATTTATTTTTAGTTGTTAAAATCATTTTTTTTAAAATGTATCCCAACTTTATTTTTTTTGTTAGTTGCTATCTTTACATATATCTAATAATACATAATAAAAAGAAAAATCAAAGCTCTTCTCTATAGTGGCAGCCCCTTCACTTACATCTTTTCCCCCTTTTTTTTTTACTTTTTTATCTTTATTTTCTATTTATTTTACATTTTAATTTTTTGTGTGTTTTTAAAAAATATAATGTTCTTCACTTTACTCCTAGGAGGTTAGTTTTCGCATGTGTTCTTATTTTATTTTTTGTTGGTTAAAATAATTTTCTTAAAATGTGACCTTAATTTTTTTTTTGTCAATTATTATCTTTACACATATTTCTTTTAAACTAAATTCAAAAATCCTTAAAATATTGTATAAATGAATTTCTCATTATCTGGTAAACAATAAATTTTTCAGGTGTCTACAATACGACAACACATGCGGAGCACGTTGCAAAAGTAATTTCTACTTAAAAGAGCTAGGGATTTGGCTTCTAAGGAGGCCATGTGTTGGCCTCTATGAACGCCACATGTTGGCCTCCTATTTCTTTCTTTTTTTCTTTTAACTTTTTTTTTACTTTCTCTCTTTTATTTATGTTTCATTTTTTTAAAAATTTATAATTAATTAAACTATTTAATTAATTAATTAATTATATTAATTCTAAAAGTTACTCCACTAAAAATTTAAAATTGCATTCTCGAAATTATAGACATAATTTACTTTTAAAAACTTGAAATGTCCATTTGATATAGTCACTACATATAGATTAATCCTCTATAAATAATTCATAATTAGAGCTAGGTAAAATCCGTTAACCTCTATAATTTCTTCTTTATCCTTGAGTACTATTACTTCTCTAATAAATAGTATATTCAAAAAAACAAATTCATGATACCGAATCAATCTTTAAGTGAATTATTTATCTACTTTTTCAAGGAATAAGGAATGGATTCCATCTCGTATATTAGCATTCTCAGCTATCTATTTTCATGTTTCCAAGATACAAGAAATAGAATTTAGAATGTTGAAACCCGTATTGAGGAAGTCAAAAAACACGAATCTATAAATAAGATTTTACTAATAACTCAAGATTAAGATCAATCTATATATGATTATTGGTATACTCAAATTTGATTTTATACACTTAACATAAATTATTAGAAATCAAATTGTGTTTGTGTCCTAGCTCTACATAATTTCATTATGCATAATACACACATTCATTATCCCTCTATATTAATGATTCAGATAACACTATTTCATTCTTAATATGAATGACATGTATTAGTTTTGTTTTAATTAAATTCATTATGAACATATTTCGATTATTATCCTTAAATATTGTCCTCTCATATATAACACTTATATTCACAAAATATTCAATAATACATGTACATAAATAATGAAAAAACTATTTTATTAATTAAATAATAAATATTTTTTTACATCTCACACTTAGAACTCTATTCTTAACAATTTTTTCGATGTGGACGTTATATCTACTAGATGTGCAGCTAATTTGGAGTAAGTGACTAGGAGATCTACGGTTCCATGGCAAAGGAGAGATCTAGCGGAGCAAATATGTGATTTTGTGTATTTCGTGAAGTTTTGATGACTTTTGTGGATTTTGTATTTTTTATGTGTGTTATTTGTGGATTTTGGTCCCCTTTTTTTGTTGATTCGAGTTTAGAATTTGAATTTTATTACAGTAAAAAGCTCTCAGAAACAGTCACATCTAACTTTTTTGCTACAGTAAAAAACTCTCACACAATATTACATCTCAACTCGAATTAACGAACTAAATGGGCGTCAATTTTTGGTATTTTTTTTTATTTTCTTAAATACCTTTCATAGTGGTGATTTTGCACTGCCACTGATAATGGTGATTTTTCAATGGATACCGGCCAGGATATTAGTTGGTATTCTAATGGATACCAGCTGGTGTGGAGAAGACTTTTCCTATTGATTTTGTTTGTATTTTTTTTATTTATGTGAGTAATGATTGTGCATTTTATGTAATTTGATGAATTATGGGGATTTTTTAGGCTTCGTTCACTTCATGGATTCGAGTTTTCAATTTGAGCTGAGATGTGACATTTTTTTAGAACTTTTTACTATAACAGAAAAAATTAGATGTGACATTTTTTGAAAATTTTTTACTGTAAAAATTTAAAACAGAAAACTCAAATCGGTAAAATGAACGAGGCCTTAGTATTTTAGTGAAAAATCCTCGTCAATATCATTGTTGGTAATTAATAGTATTGTTGTTGGATCCCAGTGGTTTTCGGCTGGGTTACTAGTTAGTAACTCAATAGTTACCGATTGATAATTACTGTCTAACTGTCACCTGCAGGTATCA